CTATATTACGATCTTTATTACACATGATTATCATTGAAACGCTTTCCGTCATATTCGCATAGTCACCATTAATAATAATAATAAATATGTATTTTAATATTATTATTTATGATGCACGGTTCTGATAAATAGACGAAGGGTATGCAATGTGAAAACGTAGATATAGTTAGGCCGTTCAGGTGTTTTGTGTAAGAGTGGAGGAATACAGAAGTCTTGCTGAATTCGCATTTTTATTTTTGTAGATGGTATCAGTTGAATAAGATGATTACAAAAACCTAAACTACAATTTAACGCGGACGATTTTCCGCCAAAAAATATTAAAACACCGGAGCATATTTTTATAAGTGTTATTGTTTTCAACGCCAATTTATAATCAATGAATTTTAATAACGTAAAATAGTTTAWTAACATTTTTAATATCTGTCATAACATTATTTGRATCCACTTAGTCATACATTGAAAATTGTTTAAGGCATAATTATGTATTCACATTCTATATTTCAAGCATCCAAAACATAACAAACCCTTTCAGACATAATATTATGAAAACTCATTAAAAAAATATATGCAAACTTTGTAACAAAGAAATAGTGACGTTTCATTTTTATATAAAATATAAAACCTACATAGATAGATACCAGTGCCACAGAAGTATAAAAGGAAATGAAAATGCCATATAATGCAGTCTTCTCTACAAATACTCCAATCTTAAAAATATAAATACAAAACATGTACAGTGCACACAGACAAAAAAAATATATTTACAATTTGTATGCTTAACTTCAAATAGCAAAAAAAAAATAAAACCCAAAAACCGAAAAACCCAAACCGAACCTATAAACAAATCGAGAAGATGAAACTATCAAGAACCTCTTAGGTACGAATAAGACACGTGTATTTATTTAAAAAAACCTTTGTTTAAAAAAATCACATTTTATACACAACAAAAAAATATAAAATAAACTGTATAACTCAAGGTTATGTTTATATTAATATGCGCTGTATATATATATACAAGACTATTATAACTGCATACTAGATGCGAACAAACTATTGATATAATAATTGCTATTKGTAACTTAAATGTGGTCCGATTAACTAATAATTAAATTATGCTTCCATCAGTACGTCGTAAAATAATTTATGTGACTATCGTCATTTGACTATAATGAAACTGTCTGCGTATAGGCACTGAAATAAACTTAGGTATAATATTTTAGCACCAAATTCAGGCGTACAATTTTTAACAGTGTATATAATGATCTCATAAATTCAACTTTGTATTTAATGACTGAATTTTAATTCTGGACTGTAAAATATTAAACATAATGTTATATGATACTAATGGACTTTGTTTTCGATATATTTCTGATATAGAAAAAAAATGTKAGATTCATCTAAACTTTTGTTTATTCTTTTAGTATCTATGATGATAATTATTATAAATCACAATGCCAAACACCGATTGCTTTGTGAAATAATTTCAAATGATTTATGCATCAGGATGAAATTATAACAAGTATTAAGATACGAGTACAACGCATGAAACGTAAATACTGTAAACTTCAGACTTATTCACTGTGATCATCCGTCACTGGTTTGAAAATTCAAAAAAAATGGTGAAGAGACGGAGAGGGGAAAGAGTTTGTTTGTTTTAATAATTGGACCATCAAGCAATAATCGAGMTATTTCGATACATTCACCAAAACTTCTTTTTTTGGCCAATTATACCAAAAATATCTCTAGAAAAATTGAAACGATTATAATATTATAATATGGTATATACAAACAAGATAAACTCTCAAAAAACGTAAACTATCAAACTGTAAAATAATAGTAGGTATTGAGTTAGGTATATATAAAGGATA